GGTCCGCCGCCGCCGCCTCGCCCTCGGCGTCCTGCGCGCGCAGGCTCGGCCGGGCGCTCAACTTGCTCTTCTACCTCGCCCTGGTGGCGGCGGCCGCCTTCTCGGGCTGGTGTGTCCACCACGTCCTGGAGGAGGTCCAGCAGGTCCGGCGCAGCCACCACGACTTCTCCCGGCAGCGGGAGGAGCTGGGCCAGGGCGTGCAGGGCGTCGAGCAGAAGGTGGGTACCCCCGGCCCCCCAGCCCCGTCCGGCTGGCTGCGCCCCCCGCACTCACAGCCGGGCTCCTCGCCCTGCCCAGGCCCCGCGGCCGGAGTCGGCCCCCTCCTCGGCCGGCGGCCCGGTTGCCCCCACCCCGGCCCCCTAGATCCCGGCCAGCCCCCAGACCCTCTTTGTTAATGGCCGCGGAGGAATCGGCCCCAAGGGATGGACCGCGCGCGGCGAGGGTGCTCAGGCCAGCCGGGGAGGGTGGGCCAAGGGCCTGTCACAGGACATTAGCGGTGACCTGTAAGGAAGCCGGCAGGCTCTGGGGAGCCCATTCTTTTAGGATTAGGAACCGCTGAATGGGCAGAGTTGTCTGAAAAGGAGGTTGGAAGGGAAGCCAGCGCATCGCTGGACGCCTCGGGCAAGGCCGCACCTCAGCTCTCCCAGTGGGAGGCATCTGAGCCCGTTTTTAATAGACCCAGAGCCTGGGGAAGGAGAAGCTTGTCATCTCATTCATTTGCGAAGTTCAAATGAAATATTACGTATCTTTAGGCCCCCTGGCCCTTATTGGACCAGTGTACCCGTGTGGGCCTTTGAAGTAGTGTATTTCAGCTTTAGAGGAAAGGAAAGGCCAAAAATACTGGGTCATACTGGTGAATAATACCACGAGGCACGTTTCTATGGTGTTTAGAGGGCTTACTCACTTATCTGATCCTCATAGTAACCCTGGGAGGGAGGGAAGACTGGTAGTTTGACTCCATTTTCCAGACGAGAAAATTGAGGTTTAGAGAGGTTAAGTGAACTGATCAAGACCCCAGCTGGTGAGTGGCAGACTGCATGAGAATGTCTAGGCTGCTGCCCAGTTCAGGGTCCACAGAGCCTATTTCAGGTATGGGTGGACCCAGCTTTCAACACAAAGTTGCTTAGGTCCCACCCGTTCTCTGTGTTTTCCACACCAAGTGCGGCTCCTTCAATCTCATTCTTCCTCCTCTGTCCTCTAGTAATATCAGTGCTCAGGGAACGTTGGTTGCATGAAGGAAACAAAAAATCCCGCCACCACTTCTGAGCCCGGAACTGCTGTCTCCTTTTCCCAGCATGCTGCCTGCCCTGCCAAGTTTCTATCGACTTCTGTGGAGTATGCAGGATTAGGAATTTCCTCTTAAGACTGGCAGAGCAACTGGAATGAGTCAGCCTGCTCCATGATGCTGGCCAAGGGAGGTGACTTTTCGAAGGGAATTAAGTAGGCAGCCCTGCTTTGCCTATCCTGAATGTCAAATCGTTGTTAAAAAATAGACATACTGCTGGTGTATAATCACTAACCTCTTAGTTTCCTCTCTATCATCCACCCACTTGCCAGTGGGTCATAATATTTATTGAAGTCTGATAGTCAAATGGCTCTGCGTGGGCCCTGCGAGGGCACGAAGGTGCAAAAGACGCACATCCTATTTGTGAAGAAGTGCGTATGTATGTTTCAGTTGACGGTAACTGCTGTGCGAGTTCAGAAGAGAGCGGGTGTGGAGTCTGCCTGGGCCTGTATCCACTGGCCAGGGTACTGCCAGTCTAGATTTAGTTCGTGAGCTATTGGTGAGTTGGTGATAACTGTTGAGAGAAGGGATGAAGGACACACAGGCAGGGGGACTATCTTGAGCATGTTTGAGGGACAGTAGGTGGCTACCCTGCCTGTAGCCGAGTCACATTTAGGGAGTAGGGAGCAGGAAGATTGAAGTTGAGCCCCAGGTGGGGAGGTCTTGAATGGAGGTTGAAGACATTGGGCTGTATTTTTTCTGTTTCCTCCCAGCCCCTCCCTTGTTCTCTCCTTTCTGGTTCCCGCCCCTTCTCTATCCCAGCTGTGTACAGATTACTTTCCTCTTTGGGGCTCAGTTTTCCCATCTGCACAGTGGGAGGTGGGCTCCGTCCAGATTTTTAAGAATCCACCTGGCTGTAAACTATTGAAATAGTGACTTTGCTTTTAATTTAGTAGTGTAATCAAGCTATTATTTAATGCCTCATATTTATTGTACACTCATTTCTTTTGACTCTCACAACCACCCCAAGAGGTAAGTAGTAGTATTATGCCCCTTTTGCAGGTGAGGAAAGTAAGACACAAGGAGGCTGAGTAACTTTGTGTGGTTACACAGCTAGTAAGTGGCTGGGCTGGGGTTCAAACCTCAGTTAACGCCCAGGACACTCTTAACTGCTTGTCTGTTCCTTTTGTTATCTTTCCCATGCCTTGCCTGGTACGTAGTAGGTGCTCAATTAATGCTTATTCCATTGACTTGCAACTCAGAACACACCCGGAACAGTACTGGGATTTGCCACAATGTGTGGCCACTTCTATCTGCACCTCTAGGGTGGCCAATAAGTACGTTGTTTTGCATTGAGGAGTGAGTAGTGATGGGTCCTCTGACAACCTAAATTTGAGCCCCTCTGTAAGTCTGTATGAGGCTTGGTGGGGGGTAGGGTGGTTCTTAGCAGGGACATATACTTACAGTATGATTATTCATTCATTGTGGGCCAGGGATTCTATGAAGTGCTTCCCAGGCACCCTCTGAGGCAGGTACCATTTATTAGCTCCATTTCACAGATAGGCCAGCAGCCTGGAGCCGTTGTGTTCCTCATTCGGTCACACACAGACCCTCAGTGGTGGAGCTGGGATTGGGGTCGGAGCAGTGTGACTCTGAAGCACTCTACTCCACTGCCCTCTTGGGTGCCCACCTCGTTTCTGTTGTTCTTAGATGCTCTTGGGATTGGGAAATGGCCCAGGTCTTCTGAACGGCCGCAGCATGGGCAGAGAGGCTGGCCTGTCCTTACCTGGAAGATTCAGCGGGCGCGGTGGGTGCAGGGCTTCAGAGAATGCTGGCAGTTCAGTTCCAGGCCCATTGAAGGGCCTGTGCTGCCCTGGCAGACCCGGGGTGACATAAAGTGGCCGTAGGAGTAGGCTTAGGCCTGGTGGGGCCAGGTTAGTGAGACTCCTCCTTGTGGAGGAGTGAGTTCTCTGGTTCTGTTTCTTCGTCTTCTCATCCTGCCTCTGGACTAGGAGTCAGGGCCTCGGGTTTAGGCAGCCTCTCCTCCAGGCACTCGGTGCACTTGGAACACACCTTGGCCCCAGCATATCTCTAGAGGTTAGGAGCTCAGGTTCTAAAGTCAAACATTCTGGGATTTTGATGCTCAGCTCTACCACTTCCCAGGCTCCTCATTTGTAAAATAGAGATCAAGGGGAGCCTCCCAATGCATGAGATTATTATGAGGATGTAATGAAATGATGTCTCTGAAGGACTTTAATTATTGGTATACAGTAAGTGCCCTGTGAGTGTCGGCCACCACTGTTCCCCCCTCCGGTGAGCTCCTTGAAGGTAGGGATCCTGTCCTAGCCGTTATTTTATCTCTGGAATCTTGCCCACCACTTAGTGGGCACTCCACATATGTTGGGGGAGCACGTGTGTTCATTGTATATTGATGATAATGAGGTCTTTGCTTGTAAAGATGAACAGTTCACACCCCCATCAGTAGGGGGACGCTTTCCGTGTTCATAGTGTGGGGGTTGGTTTGGCTTCATCCATGATTTCTGATCTAGTCCCCTTCCTAGCCGTTTGTCGAGAGCCAGCCCAAGTTAGGGGTGACATTCAGGGATCAGAGGGGAAAGGACCAGCTCGGTCTTCCTCAGGCTTTGCTCTGTTCATTCATTCATTCTTTGATTCATCAGAAAACACTGAACGCCTGCCATGCTGCTTGTTTCGTTCTCCCGTGTTCACGCCTCTGTTCTGAGTGCCGTGCTTGGAACAGGCAGGTGCTGTGAGTGAATAACCTAGTTTCAGAGGTGAGCTCTTTCCAGTGCCTGCTCAAGGTGTCCTTTACGACTCAGGTTATATTTGGTCAAGGAGGGAAATTGTCTAGTTTTCTGGAGTCCCTGAGAACCTTATTCTAATCTGTTTTAAAATCACAGACTGGTGGAAGCCAGAAGGGACTTGAGAACCTACTTGTTAATAGACGAGGCGCTTGGGACTTGGAAAGTGCGTGTGACTTCCTCGTGCTCAGAGAGCTGGTTCTTGGTGGGGCTGGGACTGGAGCCCAGGCGTCTGTTCCCGTTCCTGTGGCGTCCTCACTTTGGCGTTGGGCTGAGGATGGTCAGGAATGTCCAGACTTCTGAGCTACTTGAGAAGAGAGACTAAACAATGATGAAAACGACAGCTTTTGTTTATTGATCATTCACTATGTGATAGGCACAATTGAACCACTTTACAAATATTAACTCACTTAATCCTCACAAGACAAGCATATGAGGCAGGTACTGTTTTTGTTCCCATCCTGTGGCTGAGGAAATCAAAGCACAGAGATGCTAAATAACTTGCCCAAGATCACACAGCAAGGAGGTGTCCAAGCTAGGATGTGAACATAGGCCATCTCACTCCAGAGCCCATGCTTTTATTTTTTTTTATTTTTTGTTTTCTTTGGTGAGGAAGATTGGCCCTGAGCTAACGTCTGTTGCCCATCTTCTTCCTCTTTTTGCTTGAGGAAGATTGTCACTGAGCTAACATCTATGCCAGTCTTCCCCTATTTTGTATGTGGGATGCCGCCACAGCATGGCTTGATAAGTGGTATGTGGGTCCGCACCTGGGATCTGAACCCATGAACCCCAGGCTGCTGAAGCAGAGTGCACAAACTTAACTACTACACCACCAGGCCAGCCTCTATTTTATTTTTTAACTTCTTATCGTGGAAATGTTTAAGCATAAACCAAAGAAGAGATCAATATAATGTACTCTAGTTTCAATAATTATCAATTTTTTGCTATTCTTGTTTCGTTCCATCACCACCCCCTCCCTCCTCTCATTTTGTTTTGTTTTTTGGGGGCTAGAGTCAGGGCAGTGTAACTCTGAAGCACTCTACCCCATTGGGTGCCCCCCTGGTCTCTCTCGTTCTCAGATGTTGCCCTGGCAGATCCAGTATAGTGAACTAGGATCTAATTTTGACTGACATAGTAGTTCACCCAAAGTATTTTAGGATTTATTTCTAACAAATAAGAGTTCATTTTTTTCCCTTCCCTTTCCTTTTTTCTTTTGGCAAAACACAGTATATTACACCTAACAAAGTTAACGATAATTCTTGATTATCATCTAATACCCAGTCCAAAATCAGATTTCCCTGACTCTCTCAACAATATGTCTCTTTCACACTTGGATTGTTTGAATCAGGATCCATATAAGTCCCCACATTACATTTGATTGATAAATCTCTTAAATTTCTTTTAAGCTGTAATCATTTCCTAGCTTTCCTCCTTTGAAAATGCCATTTAATTGTTGAAGATCCTGGTTATTTGTCCTGTAGAATTTTCCATCTTGTGGATTTGGCTGATCACATCCTCGGGGCATGTATCTCTCTTGTATGTTTTCTGTGAATTGGTGGTTAGAGCTAGAGACTTGATAGATTCAAGTTCCTTTTTTCTTTTTTGTAAGAAAGCATTCTAGGGAGCACCATGTGCCGCCTCAGGATGAAGCCCAGGCCATTGGTTCACACTGTCAGCCTCAGTACATTAACCTAGCTCCTGGAGCAGTTCCCAGGTCAGACTCTGTTAGGGTAGAGTGTATTTAGAGTGACTGTGTAGTGACAAACAGGATCATAATGTGTTCACAAGCAGAGAATGCTGAGGGATCATCTGGTCCACTGATCTTATTTTCAGGTGAGCCCACTGATTTATTCAGGGCCACACAGCTAGAACTGGCGAGCAGAGACCCGAACCTTTGTCTCTTGCTTCTCAGCCCAGTGTCTCCCATGTGCCTCAGCTTTTTTCCTGTGAAAACTTGTGCGACTCTTTCAGTTGTAAGAGGTAGAAACTCAGCTTCAGCTGGCTTAGAGAGGGAGGGAGGGAGAGAGAGAGAGAGAGAGAGTTCATTGGCTCAAACTAAAAAGTTCAAGAGGAGACTCCTTCAAGTATAGCTGTATCCAGGGACTCAAATTGTGTCTTCAGAACTTGATCTTTCTGTCTCTCAGTTCTGCTTCCCTCTGTGCTGGCTTGATTCTTAGACTGGCATTCTTGAGGTGCTGGTCTGAGCTGGTTCAGGCTTCCCTCATCCTGTGGCTAGCATTCCCATTAGAAAAAGGTTTTCTTTCTCAATAGTTTTAACAGAAGTCCTGGAATTGACTTGTTGGCCTGCCTTAGGCCACATATCCATTCCTGGGCTAATCACTGTGGCTCCTGTAGGGGGAGGGGAGGGTGGGTGGAAAGCACTGATTGATCAGGCCTGGGTTACAAACCACCCCTGGAGCACTTGGAGGGGGCCTCGGGTTGGTCCTCCAAACCACATGGACTGTGTGTGGAAGGCTGGTTCTCCCAGGAAAATTATGGTGCCATTCTGGAAGAGGAGGGACCTGAAGCTGGGCAGACAAAAAGAGATCTAGCCGTATCGCATAAAACTCATCAGCTCTTCTCAGCAGTTAACGTCTGGACTTTGGTTACAGGTGCAGTCTCTGCAGGCCACCTTCGGGACTTTTGAGTCCATCCTGAGAAGCTCCCAGCATAAACAAGATCTCACCGAGAAAGCCGTGAAGCAGGGGGAGAGTGAGATCAACCGCATCAGTGAAGTTCTGCAGAAGCTGCAGAATGAGATTCTCAAAGACCTCTCGGATGGGATCCACGTGGTGAAGGACGCCCGGGAGCGGGACTTCACCTCCCTCGAGAACACGGTGGAGGAGAGGCTGACAGAGCTCACCAAGTCCATCAACGACAACATTGCCATCTTCACCGACGTCCAGAAGAGGAGCCAGAAGGAAATCAACGACGTGAAGGCCAAGGTTGCCTCTCTGGAGGAGTCCGAGGGCTACAAGCAGGATTTGAAAGCCCTGAAGGAAGTTGTGGAGGAAATCCAAACCTCTATGAAGTTCAAGGAGAAGGACATTGAGGCCCTGAGAAGCTCCCTCCAGACCGTAGAGTCTGACGTCTACACCGAGGTCAAAGAGCTGGTGAGCCTCAAGCAGGAGCAGCAGAAGTTCAAGGAGGCGGCCGATTCCGAGCACCTCACCTTGCAGGCCCTCACGGAGAAGATTCTACAGTCGGAGGAGTCCACTTCCCGCCTCCCCGAGGAGATCAGGAGACTCGAGGAAGAGCTACGCCAACTGAAGGCCGAATCCCTCAGGCCTGAAGACGATGGAGCTTTCAAAAGCTCCGATGCCTTCGAGGCGCTCCAGAAAACGAGTCAGGGACTGGACTCCAGGCTGCAGACCGTGGAAGATGGAGTCCACGCCGTGCGGTCGGCCTCTGCGCGGCAGACCGAGAGCCTGGAGTCCCTCCTGGCCAGGAGCGAGGAGCTGGAGCAGCGCCTGGCCGCCCTGCAGGAGCGCGTGCAGGGCCTGGGCTCCCCCTCGGAGGGGGAGCAGGCCGGCCTGGCCAGCACGGTGAGGAGCCTGGGGGAGGCCCAGCTGGCGCTGTACGGCGACGTGGAGGAGCTGAAGAGAAGCGTGGGCGAGCTCCCCAGCACCGTGGAGGCGCTCCAGAAGGTGCAGGAGCAGGTGCACACGCTGCTGGGTCAGGACCAGGCCCGGGCGGCCCCCGTGCCCCCTCAGGACTTCCTGGACAGACTTTCTTCTCTAGACAACCTGAAAGCCTCAGTCAGCCAAGTGGAATCGGACTTGAAAATGCTCAGGACTGCCGTGGACAGTTTGGTCGCCTACTCAGTGAAGATTGAAACCAACGAGAACAACCTGGAGTCCGCCAAGGGCTTGCTCGATGACCTGAGAAGCGATCTGGATAGGTTGTTCGTGAAAGTTGAAAAGATTCATGAAAACCTGTAAATGAATTGTGGGTGCAGGGCGTGGATTTCAAGTCCAATTTCTCATGACCAAAAAATGTGTTGTTTTCTCCCTCGTGCCCCTCACCCCACGTTTTTGCACCCCCCCTCCGGCCCCCAGAGCCTGGGACGCCACCTGGCACACCAAGCCGTTTTGTATTTTTGAGCCCAGTTAATTTATTTACGATTGTTACCACACACCACTGGTTTCTCAAGTTTTCTGCTTCTGCTTTTGGTGGGTTTCCTGAAGGCCCAGCCCCTGCGAATCAGAGGTGCTTTTTAGAAGGGATGTCCCTAGTGTCAGAGAATAACAGTAATGGCTTCCACCGAGGATTAACAGAAGCAGATTAACTCTAACCTCAGAAAACCCTGCTCGGCTGCAGATTTCAAGTAAAAAAAGTGGGGGAGGAGGCACGTTTCTTTCTAATTGTCTTTAAGGAACATTAATTTTACTTTATTTTTTTTATACTTCTGGCCGAAGTTTTCATGAGATGTCACTCACTTCTTGTCTTCCACTTCAAACTGGTTGAAACTCATACACGTCAGCTCTGAATCGGGAGGGGGACAAGCCCCTCGGTTTTTAGTTGAAAAGAATCTGCTGCTTGACGGTCGCCTCCCGTGGTGTGGGTGTCTTTTCCATTCCTGAATCATCTTGTGATCTCAAAGGTAACTATGCAAAGAATCCAGACGGTTCTGAATGTGAAGGCACAACACCCCACAGGGTGGCCGACCTGTGTCACCTCTTGGTAGGGTCCCCACATAACGCGTAGATTTAGAACCCCTGAAAGAGGAGTCCTCAGATTCTTTCAGGAAATGTATTATGAGAGCTGTCCACAGAGGCACGGGCTGTCTTCCAGGGGAGTGGAGGCCACGTCTCTTTATTTTATCAGGATGTCCGTGAAGAGGTTTGCTGTCAGAGCAGACCCCTGTCTGTCAGTGAGGAGTGTGTGCATTTTCTGTAGTTGTTCTGTTTCCCTTCCCCTCTGAGCTGTACTGTTCTTTAATGGCTGTCTTGCCCTTCAAAAAAGAAAAAAAGAAAAGAAAAAGAAAAGAAAAAAAAAAGATTTGTTTAGTTTACTGTGAAATGAACTGTATGGCTTATTTACAGTATTTTTAATTCTTAATAAACACTTGAGCTTTGTTATGACTTTGCCAGAGTGGTTGCTTTCTGAGGATTTAGTTATTATGTATTTTATTAATGTATAGCATTCAGGATTAGAAAGATAGGTAAGTGTTTAATTTTAAGACTTTTTTTCAATTCTGAAACCAAGATGGCCTCCTCTCAGGCCTGGGGACACACTTTGGATTGACTATTAGCAGGTTTGTTTATTATGTCATGGCTTGACTCTAACTCTTAGTTACAGCAGAGGGTCTCAGCCCTGACTACATATTAGAATCTTCTGGGAGCTTTAAAAAAATGCCTGGGTCCACCCTTAGTAGATTTGGGTTCAGTGGGTGTACAGAGGGCTGGCACCAGCGCTTTAAAGGCTGCCGAGCTGATTCTAATGTGCAGCCAGGTTTGAGAGCCACTGCCTTAGGCCGCCCTCAGCCTAAGTGCAAACCTGGGCGTGTTTCCTTGACTTCCCAGGTTGCCCTCCACCTGCCGCCTAATAATAACGGGTGCAGTTCATTGAGTACCTGGGTGCCAGGCAGCGTGCTAAGCTCTTCACAGGCCTCTGTTTATTCCTGCTAATATTCTCCAGAGGTGGGCAGTGTCATTCCCCATTTTACAGAGGGGCGGCAGGCTGAGAGCATCATGCTACGTCATTAGCTAGAAAGTGGCAGGGCTGAGATTTGAACCCAGTCCCTGCTCTAGCTGTCACAGCATCCTCCACCTTCCACCAGCACCAGTGCAGGGCCACGTGGACCTGGGCAGCACTCGCTGTCCCCTGTTGCAGAGCCGGAAGCTGCAGGAGCTCTTTCTCTTCCACCCAGGGAGTAGAGGGGGCCCAAGAGCTGAGAGTGTAGCTTCGTTCTCTCCTTTCTGGTGGGAGGGTCCCTCATCTCTGAGCTTCTCTGTCAGTCATTCTGCATCCCCGAGGCAGCATCCCTAAGGCCGCACAACTCTGAGCATGATGTTTTTCCCCAAACAGTTTGCAAATCAGGAGGGGCCCTTTAGGGGTGTTAGAAGGCATTTGTATTTTTATTTAAAGGTAGAAGAGTTCATAGGTCTGCTTTAATCACTAGTTCGTCCTCTTTTGGGGAGGTGCTGAGCAGCATAAATTCTCGTGCATGCAGAAAATTCGGGTTCCTTTCTCAGGTTGGTTGGTTGCATCAGGCATCTTGCTCTTCCTCTGGCTATTGTTTCTGCAGTCTTTAATCTCAGACTGTGGAGTGGTTTAATAGATTCCCATTTAATATCGTAGTAGAAAACATCTACAAGGGTCAGAGAAATAAATATAAATTCAAGTGGTGAAAATAAAAGGAATGCATTATGAATTCACATATTCCTTATGGTGGGGCAGTTAGAGGTAGGTCTTACCTCAGATAACAATCACAGTTCAGTCTTACTCATGTGTCTGCTCACTCATTCATTCAATGAACATTTATTGAGCTCATAGCAGGACATTTTGCTAAGTCTCAGTGAATTCAAGATGCATGAGACAGGATCCTTGTCCTCAAAGGGCCTCTAGCCCATGGGGGTGACAGTCAGGTAAACTGGTGGATGTCATAAGGAATTACAGGTGCTATAGCTAGGTGTAATGGGCACGGAGGAGGGAGCGGCTGGTTCTGCCAGGGTTGGGCTGGGGTGGTTAGAACAAAGGCCTGTGGGAAGGCCCTGGAATGCTTCCATGAGTGATGGGAACCTTCAGGAAACGTGAGGTTGCGCCGCCCTTTGAACAGGGAGTAGGCACAAGTTATTCAAGGTATTGATTCAACTGCAGATGGTGCAGCACCAGGATAAGAGGCTGCAGTGAAATTCCCCAGGCAAGACTGTCAGCACACTGGTGAGAAGACTGCTCCACCATTTCCCACGGCACTTAGAATGGTGGTGATGGTGAGGATGGAGATGATGATGGTGAGGAGGAGGATGGTGATGGTGAGGATGATGACGGTGGTGGTGAGGATGATGATGGTGAGGATGATGGTGGTGAGGATGATGATGGTGGTGGTGAGGATGATGATGGTAAGGATGATGATGGTGGTGAGGATGATGATGGTGAGGACGACGATGATGGTGAGGACGACGATGATGGTGGTGAGGATGGAGATGGTGGTGGTGAGGATGATGATGGTGAGGATGATGACGGTGAGGATGTTGATGGTGATGGTGAGGATGATGATGGTGAGGATGATGACGGTGA